AAAACCCAGCTAGAATCTAGAGTTATTTCCTAGAAGTTCTGGTAAAATATGAGAGTCCAATAAATGAAATATGACCAGCCCAGTGAGGACATCCTTTTAACCACATGCAGCACACACTGAACTTGCTCTAAAAGAGCACACCACTGCTACACAAGGCATGCTTCATGAAGAGACGAGGCATGGATGCAGGCTCTACAAGAAAGTCTACTGATTGGAAACATGTACACGATGATGTTTAAGGCCAAGAACCACAGAACAGAGATTTTTTGTCTTCTATCGTTTCACGAAGTAAATAAACATGGAACATATGGGCGATTCCTCAGTTTTTTTTGTGTGTTAGTCCATTATTACCACAAACTGCTACAGTGGAGAGGCTAAACCTCCAGCTCTACCTATCAGCAGAAGGCAGTAAAAGAATAATGGAGCACCTGTAAGAAATTATAACACCCTTAGTAAGTATGTCTCCCTTCAGTCCTCTAAACATTTTATTCTGTTCATCATAAAAAGTTGAAATGAGTCAGGTACCTGGAGCTTGTATTTTTATTCTGAGATAGGAAAACAGAATATGTTAATTCCTGGATCATCTTTAAAGTCTGCTGTTGCCAAAACAACTAATCACATGGAAACAGATGTATGTGTGAATAATCCAACTGACTCACAAAGTACCTTTGCTACTATAAAGGAAACTGAACCGATCATAATGGCTTTTTATTCATACCCTCAAAGGACACTTTGGCTAACTTTTCTTACTTATGTCTAAGTTGAGCAGAGGTGTTTAGTGTGTAATGACACAAGACAGGAGAATAAGAGGAGGAAGAGAAGCTCGGGGAACCAAACAACTGGGAAAGGATGCCGCAGAAGTTAGAATTTACAGCAAAATCAAATTAAACACTGATTTTAAAAATCCATGGTCAAGTGAAAAGGAATGTTTTCTTCAAAATACATGGATACCTCAATCCCACCAGGAAATTAAAGCTCAAATGTGATTCTGTAGGAAACACTGAATTATCCAGGAAGTCAAATCTTCACCTCTTACTAACTTTGCACTGTGTTATTCACTACTCAGTGGCACTTCAGGGAGAAATTATGCATATAATTTGGAAGACAGTATCGTAATACTTACCATGCCCTGTCTGTACATCACTCTTCTTGTTCCGTAATGAATGCATTTTAATATAAATTCCTCTGTGCTTATTCACCATTTCACCCTGCATCAGCATGAACACTATTATAGTTCTTTTTAAAGTGCCTAAAACAGTTCCTGGCACATCACAATGGCTCAAAAAACATTCCACCAGGGGACTTACAAGAAAACTACTAGGGAACGTGTACTGTAGCAGGTATCTGTCAGCTATGGCTGTCCAGCATCCAAATGCCCTTCTGACTCAAGGGAAGCCCAAGACAGATGAGAGGCAGAAACCACTTCCCACTTCAGACGCAAAAGAGGAGTAGACATTCTCTTTCTCCACTCCCTGAAAGCTAGAACGTGGGAAGATGACCTAAACCTGTCTACCTTTAGCTGGAATTTTAAATCTTTAGATATAAAGCAAAGACACGAGGTCAAGCAGAGATTATTCACAGCAGATAGAGAAGAGCCAAGAATTCAAAGGCACAGCTGCAGATGCCTGAGGGCAATGAAGTCCAGCAGCTTGCGGACGACTGCCCAGTGACCGGTGGAAGCAGCATACTGCCTGTACAGTGCGGTCTACAGAAATCTTGGCTGTGCCTTCCTATCAATTCTGCCCAAGCCTAATTCTCTGATCTTGTCACTTCTATGAGCTACTTAGCACTCACTATTCTTTTACTAAATTCCTATCCTACTTAGGTTGGCCAGAGTTGATTACCAGGGAGTGTGCACTAAGAGACTGGTACCAGGGAGCAGATTACTGGCAACAGCACCTCAGGAAATTAAGGGCAATCTGGGATTGGTTTCTGGTCTAGTAGGGGCCAGTGAACAGCATACTAGTGTCCACAGAAAGGATTCTGCAAGTCCTTGACAGGGAGAGGAGAAAGTGACTACCACCTGAGTTCACATGGATGCCCTAGGAGACTGAGTGCTGCCAAGAATACAACAGAATGGAGGGCATGAAGAAGTCAAGACTATGAGGCCGAGCTCTGCTCTTCTAAGGGCACCGAGAGCTGACAGAGAATATTAAGGCCAAATTTCTACAAACCAGGCTTCAGGCACAGACTGAAGCCCAGGCACTTTTAAGAAAAGGATATTTTCTCTCTTACAAAAATAGAGCGGAGGTAGCTGTGAAAACAAATACGCAAGGTTGGATGCTCTAGGTTGCTGAATTTTAAGTCAGGTAAATTTGCATCCATATTGGGGCTATTTTATGAAAGTTGGAGCACTGACTGCAGAGACAGAGAGAATAAACTGGAATGGAAGCATAAGGGAGGATTCTGAGCACTTGGGAATATCCTGAATCCCTAATCCTCCTTCAGGGTCCCCTTGCTAGCTACGTCCAGTGGGACTGTTCCTCTATTGCTTGAAAAGGGAGTGAAATCCCCTTGCCTGAGGGAATTACCTTGTAAGAGTAAATTCATTCATTTGCCTCATGCTTCCACCATATACACTGTACTCCACTACCGCCAGATCACAGCATGGTGTGTGGGGTGAAACACCAAAATAATTACAAGACTTCGGTCATTTATATGGACAAAAATATAGGAAATACAGGAGATGTTGACCAAGGAAAGAAAAGCAATTCTCGATCTAGCTGATTTTGTGTAGACACATTAGTGAGCAGAGCACTTGTATCTTTGGAAAACATTTCATAAGCCAGGGATACTGGTAGGAGGCACTGAAGTCAGGTTGCCCATTTTAATACCAAGAAGGAAGGAAGAGACCAAGCAGTGGCATCTAACTACTAGTGAGTGAGAAAGTAGGCATAATTACGTAAACAGGCAGCAAGGCCAGAGTGGTGATTCCAACAGCTTGACTGTCTAAATGGTCTAAATCAGTTAGCAGCGGCTAACTGATCACAGTCTGTGTAGGATTAGCATAGGTTATGCCATTCCAGGGAGAGAGAAATGTGTTTTCATTTATACAAGGCATTTATCAGGGCAAGTATAAATACATTTTAAATATATAACTCTGGGGAAAAGCTATATGTATAGATGTTAGTCAATGCAGTCAAAGTGTCAGACTATAGGAGATGTTCTTTTTGCTAAATCATTCCTATTTGGGAGGAAGTCCCAAGATCAGGAGATGCAAAATTCTGCCTCTCAATGCAGAAGCCAAAGTGGAGCAGATAATCTCTCTCCTGATCTCTTGGGAGACACAGTGTGGGTACATGTCCTAGACACAGCCAATCAATTGGTCAGACGCATAGTTTTGACCCGAGGGAATGAAGCAAAGGTCAGTGAGAGATTACTTTCAGCACTATGGGGAAATCGAAAGTCCATGATGTGGCTGCAAGGGTTCAGTGCAAAGTCCAGCACGGTGGTGTCTAACAGAGACGACAGTGCCAACAGAAATATATAAAGCAGATTCTAAGTTGAAACCCTGGCTACCCTTGCCTCCCTTGATTCCTGTCTAAGCTGGGTTCTCCAGCCTACCTAATAATTCTTTTCGTTTCTCAATATCCTTCCAGTAAATTCCTCCCCTGATTAACGATGACCTCTATGACATGCATTCAAGCACACTGACCACTACAGAGGCCACTTTAGGAGAATGATGCCATCATGGACAGAAAACAATTTACTGCCTAAACATACACTACTTCTTGCAGGAGACTGGAAGTTAAGTAAAGTATAATGACAGATTGATGTTCAAAGCCAGAATGTGTATTTCTTCTATTAATATGTTGGACTGAATCACATGAAACTATAGCTATCAGATCATTTTTTAACCTAAAACTTTTTCATGCAGTTTAACCTAATATTTATGGGTTATGTTAAAAGATAGAGTAATGTTTCTCCCCACCTAGCTATTCTTAGCTAATTTTAAAAGGTTATCTTCAAAATCCTTACTTAATTTGTCTAACGTTTTTAAACACTTACGTTTTAAAATTCTACTGATAATACCACAAAATCTTTTTTTTCCAGAAGAATCAATTTCCAAAAACAAAAAATCAACAGTACCAATTGAGCTTTACAGAATGTCAACCCCCTTAAAATCTGTACATAATAGATAACTGTGGGGAAAAAATGCTGTTCAGTAAGAATGAATTCGAATCACAGAATTGTAACCAAAAGGACCAACTAATCTGACTCACATTCAGTCCTAACTTGCATCTTGTTGCAAGTCCTCTTGTCAAATGGGGTTTCCTAGTATTCTTAAAGTCATTAAGAAAAGAATATAACCTGAGTTACTGCTTCTAGTTTCTAACACCTAGAAACCTGGTTTTTTTTTGGGGGGGGGATAGTTCTTTCTTTTATATTTACCTACATCATACCTGTTACATTTCCTTTGACGTTTACAGAGTATTAACGGTAGTTTCTCACCAAACAACATATATTAACTTGTCATATTTTTAAAAGGTTCATTGCTAATTTAGGCCTCGGTATTTCTTTTCATATTCAACCATCCTAAGTCCTTTAAGATTTCCTCCAGAGTCCATCTTCTAGGCCCTTTCTCACAGTCTCTCAACCTAATGCACATCTGCCAAATCTTCCAAACTGCGGGACTTAGTATATCCTAAAAGCAGACGCAATGTGAAAAGAGGAGACCAGGTCTGGGGGCAGGTGAAAATGTGCTCCTGCAGAAGGGGATCAAGAGGACGGATGACATGGGACATGGAGCAGGGCCATGAGTAGTCAAGTACTTACTAACCCGACCATTCTTAACACAAGTGCAAGGCTAGAAGAAACACACTGTGGAAAATGAGATAAAAGAGGTTTGCTTTTTATGCTCCTTCCTTTATTCTCTAACCTATCGCCAAAGTTCTCCAAGAGGGTCCAATAACAAATTATTCAATTTTGCTCTAAAACAACAGTTCTTCAGTTGCCTCAATACCTGCTGAAGTGTGGCCAAGCTGATGGGGGATTTTTACCTGAACGGCACGTCTTCCTGCGGAACATCCACATAGTAACGGATAAAAAATCTCTCAGAATCTTCGCGCTCGCCATCGGTAACAACACTGCCATTAAGTTTGGAAACTGATGGCAATCTATAAGTAAAAAACAAAATAGAGACATATTGAGACACTAAAAATATTTATAGCTTTAGAAATAAAATTATTGGTTTGATGCCCCATCTTACTCTCTTGAAAGGACACATCTGATGTACTCACGTGGGTACAACTACTGACATGAACTCACTTTTACATAAAGTATAAAAGGACCAAAAATATCTAAAGTTTCATTTTTGGATGTGACACTGACCTTTTATAATCATACCTCACCTTTCAAAATAAGATTCTAGGCAGCACTGTCCAACTTAAATATAATGCAAGCCACGTATGTAATTTTAAATTCTCTAGCAGCTATATTTTTAAAAGTAAAAGTAAAACAGATGAGATTTAATATTTAATATTTTA